TCCACACCTGGAGATTTATGATGATGAGGCACCGATGTCTCCTCGAAGCGAACGTTTGATGCAACGTATGACTTTATTAACTCAACAAATGTTAGCCCAACAACGACATGACGATAGAAAGTCTGAAGATGATAAAAGTAAAGGTAAGGAGAAAGAAAGGGCTGACACCTCAAAACCCAAAACCGACCGAGTCTGTTTTAAAACCTTTCGTGGTAGCGGTGCTACTGAGTTCTCTAGGAAGGTTGATCCGTTGGAGGCACTTGATGGATATTGAATATTGAGAAGGTCTTTCGTATCACCCGAGTGCTATGTGATGATAAAGTGAATTATGCCACGGCCATGTTCCAAAGTAGGGCCTTGTTATGGTGGAATGCTACTTTTGCAGCTTTAGGTGAAACTGAAAAAGAAGGTATGMCTTGGGAGTCTTTCAAAACTCGTTTTAACAAGCAGTATTGTCCAATTGATCTACAAAAACGATTAGAGAAGGAGTTTCTTGATCTTAATCAAGGAAAGATGTCAGTGGTGGACTACGAGACCGAGTTCAATYATAAAGCACAGTTTGCCACACGTTTCTTGACTACAGAACAGGAACGTGTAGACCACTTTATAGACGGATTGTGATCAGAGATTCGAGATGTCGTCGCCAATCGTGATATTTCAGATTTTGAGAAAGCGGTGGAATTTGCACGACGACGCGAACACGATTTGACCCGCTCGGATCGTAATCCAGCTCCGCCATCCAAGCGACCTCGAATTGAAGGTGCCATATCTGCACCAACACAACAATTTTCTAGGAATTTCAATCCGAGATACGCTCAATCCCAAGCTAGATCGCGACCTCAATCTCGGTCCCAAGCTTATAGCCTTCAGTCAAATGCTCCTCCACCCTGTTCTGTTTGTGGTAAGGCTCATCGGGGCCGATGCAACACTGTTCGCCCTGAAGTTAGATGTCATGGTTGTGGTGAAGTTGGACACGTGAGACCGAACTGCCCGAGGAGGGATATGACATGCTACTCATGTGGTGCTATAGGCCATCGTCAAAGAGAATGCCCTCGATCTAAACCTGAGGAAAGTAAGGCTTCTGTTCGCCGACCTTCTACTAGTGGTGYTGCTCATCAAAAGGAGGAGGTACCGCGCGTCCAGGCCAGAGCTTTTCAAATCACTGCTGAGGAAGCTCGAGATAAACCGGATGTGGTTATGGGTATATTTCTCGTTAATTCTCCTCCCGCTCGTATCTTATTTGATTCTGGTGCTATTAATTCATTCGTTTCTCATACGTTTGCTCGATGTTTAAACTTTGTGCCATATGTGCTTGCTAAATCTTTTTACGTTGACACTGCTGATGGCACATCTATGCTAGCTGATAAAGTTTACAAAGATTGTGTGTTGCAATTAGATGAGCATGAGTTTTTTCGTAGATCTTGTACTGATGGATATCCATAGCTTTGATATAATTATTGGTATGGATTGGTTGGCTAAGAATCGGGCTGATATTTTGTGTTTTCAACGCATAATCCGTATATCGAACGACGTCGACTATTTATATGTTTACGGTGAAAAGCGTAAAGGGGACGTAAATTTGATTT